ATGTAACCCCCGTGCCATAGGTTCACCACCAGCCTTTAACAGTTCAGCTGGTATGCCGCAGATACCAGCTGCTTTACCACTCTTCAGCTTGGAAATCGCCCCCCTAACTTCAGTTAGGGAGGGAGGGTCCTCACTGATAGGTGGATCCGGCAGCGGGATCTCGACACTACCCGCATCCAAGTTAACTGTTGGTGGGTCAACCTGGTACAGCTGCTCAAAATACTCAGCCCAACGTCCCGCACCGCAACAGGATCTGAAACGATCTGACCACTTACTGAGCGAACTGCTGTCACCTGTGAAGAGGGCTTGGAGTTCAGCTTTCTCAGGGCTTGGTATGCAGGACGAAGGTCATTTACTAAGAAATGGCCTTCTACCTCCTCTGCAAGACTCCTAATAAACTGTTCCTTGTCCCTTCTTAACAGGGACCGAGTTCTGCGCACATGAGAACGGTGCAATTCCCGATCCCCTGTCAGACGAGCCGCACGACATGCATCTGTGGCTTCCAGTGTCTCCGCGAGATGGAATTCTGTACTGCTCTCGGGCGTACACCAATCGTATCTTGAGCTGCATCAAGCGTTTCACGCTTAAAGGTATCCCACAGAAGAACAGGGTCTGTCAGACTGCCAAGCACTGCGAAACGATCAGAGATTGCCTCAGCAAACCCGCGGGCACACTCCCCCTCCCTCAGCCTGTCCAAATGAAACACCCTAGGGTGATCATTTGACCGCTGGGGGTTTTGAAGTGGACCCGGAGGGTAGCCACAACCAATCTATGGTCAGTACCACAGAACTCAGCACTCCTGTACACCCTGCAATTCTGAAGGATCCTCCAACGAGTGCTAACAAGTATGTGGTCGATCTCCTTGGCTGCGTTACCCGCATCACTGTACCATGTCCAGCGATGTGGGTCTGGGCGCTGGTACCAGGAGCCAGAAATCCTCAATTTCTGGGACCTAGCAAAGTCCCGGAAAAGGAGGCTATTCTCGCTACCGGCATCAGCTCCTGAACCATGGGGACCGACAGACATCTCATAGCCAGCTCGATCACAGCCAGATACCGCATTGAAGTCGCCCAGAACAATGCGAATATCTCGGGGACATCTGTCTGCCACAGATGTAAGTTTGGCGTAGAACATCTCTTTCACGTCAAGTTTACAAACATCGGTAGGAGCGTACACAGCAATAAGAGACATGAAGCCAAAAGAAAGCTTCAATCTCAATACCATTATACGCTCATCAACAGGAGTAACCTCTACTACCGAGGGCTGGAGTCTGCTGGAGACGGCAATGGCTACTCCCTGGAGATGGTGGCCATCGCTGCGGCCCGACCAGTAATAGGTGTAGCCACCTACACAGGTCATGCCGCTGCCAGGCCTCCTCACCTCCGAGAGAGCAGCCACCTCAACTCTCAGCCTCCCCAGTTCCCTCGACAGTAGAGGCAACCGATCATCCTGACGCAAAGAACGGACGTTCCAAGCCCCCACCCTGACTTCCCGCCTGAGGTTCAGCCTCTGGCAGTCGCTCCGGGTGGATGCCACCTCTGCCACCCCCACCGACGCTGCCCCATATAAAAGGGGGTGGCGGGCTGCGTGCCCCATCATCCACCTGTGGGGTTCCCGAGGGCTTTCCCCCACAAGCTTCACTCTGGGCTGGCGGCCACCAGAGCGCAGGCGAGACGGGTAGTTCCCGTTCCCAGCCTGCGCTCCAGCAGTCGCCCTCCCAGCAGGGCCCACAGTCCGCCTCACTTGCTGGGTGGGAGGGGCTTTTCCCCTCCTCCCAGCCTCTCCATTTATAATGCTGCCGATTGGTTTATATCTGGGGGGAGGAGGACTGGCAAGGCCCACCTCCCCCGAGCCTCCCATTAACCCCAGGGGGCTAGGAGTTGGTACAGGGCCAGGGCGTGTCCACACGCCGGTGGGCCATGGCCCTGAACCTCTGGGGCCTCCTGCTGCTCCGAGATCCCCCTCAGTTTAGCCTGGAACCGCAAGGTACCCAGTTTCCATGGGGGCCACGAGGAGGCACTGCAGGGAGTCTCGATGATGGAGAGGCTATGCACTGGCAGGGGGAGGCTTATGCAGAGCTGCTCCCTTTTTCGCACGAGGCTAGCCAGCGGTGGCAGCTGTAAGCGAGAAGGCATGCAAAGCTCTTAACACTAACTAGACTACCACTCCATCGCTTCACACCACCCTGCGCATGAAGCACCCACCCATATATATATATATATATATATATATATATATATATATATATATATATATATATATATATATATTATATATATATATATATATATATATATATATATATATATATAATATATATATATATATATATATTATTATTATTATATATATATGTATATATATGTATGTGACTGACAACCCGTTCTTGCTCAGCTTCATCTCTCCTTCAATTTTTGTACTGGAACTGTCTCCATCTCCCTGACAACCTTCCCTATTTACGACAAAAACTGATCAGATTGTGGAGAAGACCGCCTGCCTAATGGACTCTAAAGCAGTGTCAGTACAATGTTACATTATTCCCCATTGTGGTCATCGTAAGTCGTCCTCCACCTGAAATTACTTTTTGTAGTCATGACCTCCCCATGATGTTTATATTGGCGGAGAATCCTACCCTGTTCGACAATATTATTAAGAGTTGTTGGCGTCTAGGCCACCTTGCCAAACACTGCCAACCCACAGCATGATACCCTCTATTTGTCCAACCTGGATTCTCCCTCCTGAAACTGTGATCTAATTGCCCTTAAACCCCTTTTTATTGCTAATCCATGCCTCGCAGAATTCCACACTTCTTCCTTTGACAACTTTGATATAATCTATCTTGTTAATCGTACTGTAACCCATTTCCCCACAATCTCTACACTCACCTTCTTTACCCCTATCAGTGCCATGTTATCCTGAACTGCTTTTCGGCTTTTGACTTGTAGCACATTAATTATGATCTAACCGCCTCATTATCATCATCGTTATCCTTTTTACCGTTGTGATTATTGAATATTGTGATGTTTTATTATTATCGTTAATGTGATTAGTGATAGTATTGCTATTGTGGTTATTATTAAAATTGTTGTTATTGTTGTCAATGATTTTTTGTTTTTATTTCTATCATAAATGATATTGTTGTTATTGTTTTCATCGACATCATCATCACTATCATCAGTCTTTATAACTGCCTGTGCGTGTTGTTTTAAATACATCTTAAAATATCTAAAACCAGGTACAAATTCGTTTTGTACGAGGACCTGAGCCTGCGCCCCAAGAAGGTGGTGAAGGAGCTGTGGCGGTTCCTAAACCTGAAGCCCTCTCGCCGGACGCTGTCCCTCCTCGCTAGGAACGCGAAGACGCCCTCCACGCTGCTCTACAGGCTACCCTACAGCACTCAAAGGAACAGTCCGTGCCACACCTTCAGCTGGAGGAAGCAGCTCAACTACACCATGCTCATGAGGGTGCAGGAGGCGTGCAAGGACGTCATCAGGAGACTGGGGATGCGCCTCTTCGCGTCCGAGGAAGAGTATCGCGACCTCTCGATATCCGCGATGCTGAAGGAGGGTCCGTCTCCTGCGTGTGGGGAGGCCGGAGCTTGAGGGCGCGCGAGGACTGTTGCTAGATGTGCAAGGGGCGGGAGCTTTGCCGGAGTTGACCGTAAACGATGGTGTAAGGGACAATTTTACTTGTATGCATGAGAAGAAAATTAAATGCATTCATGCGTCCCATATATATATAATATATATATATATAATATTATATAATGTATACATGTATGTGTGTGTGCGTGTGTGTGCGCGCGTGTGCGTGTGTGTGTGTATAAACAATTATAGCTTCGTATACGCATACATACATAGTTACATAAAACATGCGAACTCACACTTTTACTTGTACTCAGACACACACGGACACCCTTGTAGTTATACCCATATACTTACATCTTCACTCGCATGTACACAAACGGGACACTGTTCATCTAAGCTTAAACTTGTGTACATATTTGAGCTCACACAAAAGTATCTTTGTGTGTGCATGTGCGAACAACATTCACACCCAAAGCCTTTCCATGCACAAACTGCATTTCGTCTCCAAAGAGCAGCTTTAAGAAGAAAGCCTAAACGATATTCCACTACAAAAGGCCAGGGAAAAATCTGGTAAATAGAATTCTCCTTGTTGGAGGAACTTGGCCCGAGATTACTTGGCTTCTGTGCAAATGTATTTTGAGCTGTTGTTTTTTCATTATATCAAAGTAAGAACTTACTTTTTATTAAACAGTTTTGCTTATCATTTACTTCCTTCATGTCGTAATGTTTATCACAGTACTAAAAGCTTATTGGAATATATCCGAAGGAGGACGAGGAGATGAAGACGAACACATTGAAATGACTGAACGAAGGTCCTCGTGATGTACAGTAAATGTGTCTGAAAAAAGATAACTCGGAACTCGAACTGACCCATGAATAAAATGTGTCCAACAGACACACTTCCAACGATTTAATCATGATCCAGCCAAATTATATAGTTCATAGATAACCAGAGATAACAATATAAAGGTGCATTCGTCGTTTTGATAGTTTGTAGTTTTGATGGTTTGTAGTCCTGCTGCGAAGGAAAGGTACTTAAATTGTCTTCCTATTGTGTAATTTTATGAGCATTTAACCCCGAAGTCATTATTTTTTATATCCTATACGCAACGAATGCAAAAAAGACTCCTATTTTGGGATATTAAACGAACGGTGCCAAAGCTTCATTAGGGGAAGTTTTTCACCTTAGTATTAGTTTTTTTTTTTTTTTTTAATCTCTATGCATTCATTTTTTTCGTTTCAAATAACGCATGGATAACCCATATAACAATGCAGCGTTGATAAAAAGTCCTTTTGTGATTTTTTTTCAGGTTTTTCATACTCCTGACCGTGATTAAAACCGTCGAAGCCAGTCACAGACATGGGGTAAACAACAAGAGGAAAAACAGGGAAGAAAACTTGCGCTGTTGCACATAATGGGTGGAGAAATTAATTATTCTGGGCTACTTCCTGCCTGTCCTTTTTCTATTTGCGTAATTTTTCAAAGTTCAAGGTTAAGTAAAATGCAGAAGATGAGAAACAGAAGAAAAAACTCATATGCAATTATGTAGATGATAATGAATAGTAATAATCAATAATAATAACTAACAACAAAATGGAAGAAAATTAACCAAACACAATCTAAAATCCAAGAAAGAGACAGCGATCACAACGCAGTGTGAAGGAAAAGCAGCAATAAAAGTAAAATGTAAATACATATACAAAATAAAGCACAAAATAGAGAGGCAGATCCACCACCGTCCAGCAAACCAGTTAACGCAGCTCACGAAGACAATTGCAAAAGCATAAATCAGAAACCAATAGAGAGAGAGACCAGCATGGTTCTGTTGCGAGCAAATTGCAACACCTGACCATTTGTGTTGCTGTGTATATATTGGCAGACGGGCAGGCGGCAAGCAGGCAGACTTCGAAGGGGTGGGGGGACGGGTTGGGTGGGCGGGCGTGCGAGAGGATGTGGGCGGACCACCTACATACTGTAGAGAAAGAAGACAAGGAGGAGAAATGAGTAGAAGAAGTGAAATGGTCTGTGATTATGTAGTTGACTAATTAATGATGTAAGTTCCATATTCAAATTACTGGCATCTGCTTTTAGCGTTACCGATTTCATGATGTAAATACATACGCCTCACTATCTGTCCATGTTTATTCAGCAGCTGTTTCATTTATCTGTTTAATATATACAGTTAATATATATCTAATAAAAATAGACAATATGAAATTTGAATACCTCGTAAAAATCCGAAATTGAATCATACACATTTTAACTATTCTAACTATTAAGCCTACTTGTGATATTTTCATCATTAACATCACCACCACACACACACACACACACAACACACACACACACACACATACAGAGAGAGAGAGAGAGAGAGAGAGAGAGAGAGAGAGATAGATAGATAGATATCAAAGGAGCTGACGCCGACGGGGGCGCATGGCCGCATCCACCCTTCGCGTTCGACCTCGAGATCCCTCGTGGCGAGTCGCTAGGCAGGAACTCGACCCATCCCTAGTTTACGACAGGTCTGGTGGTCGAGCTGCCCAAGCCACGACTTCCTAGTTCTTCCAGGATCCTCCACGCAGGATTACGGTGGGCACGGATTATGCAAGAAACAGGTCCCAAGCCAATCTCACGATGTAATCTTTGGTTGGACATAAGGTCCTGCCAAGTGTACCTCATGATCCGGCGTAGGTATGTTGTTACAAAAGGCATCGAGACGTGACACCAAAACAGTAGATAGCATCCAGGTTTCGCTTCCATAGAGCATAACCGGCAGTATCAAGGCCTTGAAGACACGTAACATAAGGCGTTTTAAGCAGGGGATCGCTTTGTTAAGAACTCTTACTCGGAAGCCAAGAACTGTACCGTTCGCCAGGGCTGTTGCGACAAGCGTTTCTGAATTACTAGATGCCCTGTGTTCGTCGTGAACACTTCTTTGTTTTCTTTTAGAGGCTTATTTTATGTGCGCATTAAGTAATTCCTTTCAGCAACTATCTTTTTAATTTAGTTATTGTCCACAGACGTCAAAATGTATTTATATGGTCTATACTCGAGGATTTGCGAGTGGGGCTATGTGACATCATATTAATGCCAAGAACCGCTTTAAAGATATCTGTTTTTGTGTATATTTTGGTTATATGAAATATCTCCAAAGTCAACTCAAAGCTTTCGCTGTTATTTCCTCTCAATAATCGTTCCATGTCGTTAGCAACTTTCAGAAAATATATTTTAACAACAGAAGCTAATGGGTTTCGCCTACTGTGTTATATTTTCGTTGTCATTACTGTCTGGGTTACAAACCAAATCATTGTTGGTCATATATATCATATATGATGCATTGGATGCAAGAAAAATAAACAATATAGTCTATATATCTGCCTATGATATATAAACAATTATCTTTTCATTTCTGGTCATCTACCTGCTCGGACGTCATATCCTACCGGCCAGACGTTATTCACGACCGACTCCTTCACTACCACGACATCCTTACGTCATACTGTGTGTGTGTGTGTGTGTGTGTTGTGTGTGTGTTGTGTGTTGTGTGTGTGTGGTGTGTGTGTGTGTGTGTGTGGTGTGTGTTGGTGTGGGTGTGTGGTGGTGTGTGTGTGGTGGGTGTGGTGGGTGGGTCGTGCGTGCGTGCGTGCGTGTGCGTGCGCGCATATATATATGAATAAGATATATAATTTCGGTTGTTGATTTTCCACTCGGAACCGTAGTCGTAGAATGGAAAGGAGAACCAGTGCTGCGAACATCTTTACTTAAACGTCCAGAGATAGTATTTCATCTCCATCATCAGTACTAGAAAT